GGCAATATCCCATTGTTAGCATCCATGGCTACTGCTAATAAGTTTACTCCAGGTATCGACCTTTCAAATGTGCTCCGTCAACTATAATAACTGGGCGCATGCAAGTAATAACGAACGAATCTACAAAATAATGTACACAAGAAATATAATCATTTAAATGTGAAATGCATGTAACTAACAGAAATGAGTCAACAGAATTATATTGATTTACTAACCGCAGCACCAATGGCGATAAACAGCAACTCAAAGCGTCCATCTCTATCTGTTTTGATATGAGTTACCGACCCAGGATTTTTCAGCTTTAAATTGTGACAATAAGCCGGCAGTTGGGCAAACGATGCTTCTGGCGACCCCCTCAACAATTCCAAGGCATAACATTTGGCTCTCCAAGCTTGAGAATATGATATACTAATCTTGAACTGAGCATTCATGTCAGTCATAATTTCATGTCCCCGATATACCCTACCATTCAAAAACATTAACTCAGCCAGAAAACCACCCAACACCTTTTTGTTTGCCTGTCTATGGTGAGGAAAAACTTGGGTTCTTGAACATGTATGTTTATCAATAAAAGTCCTAACTTGAAACATTGCGCAATCTTTTATCCTCTTTGCAATCATACGCCACGTACAGTTTTTGTCAATCGTACACCTTGTTTCGAAACGATCTTTGCTTGATTTGTTAACTTTTAGTTGATAGCCATCTTCCACATATTTCGTATACAAAGCTATCTTCATGTCTTCCTTTGTATCAAAACAATCATCTTTCTTGATACGAATAACTTTTGTGTAACAATCAACTGCTTTCTTTGCCAACTCTTCTTCCGATAACTGAAGTAATTCTGGCATATTCCAGTTATACTCCCGTGGCATTTTCTTTTCTTCGGGGACTTTTTCTTCTTCTTTTTCTACTTCAGGATTATATGAATTACAGAATGGATGTTCAACATGTTCATTCACAGTCGTAACTTCCTCCTCATTATCATCAACAACATCTTCCTCGGCAACGGGTGTTTCATCATCAAAATTCGGGTATTGACCAATATCAAAATCATTACACACAGGGTCTGTTTCTTCTTCTGAAACATCATCAAAATCCGTGTATTAGCCAGAAGGGTACTAGCCGGTAACTCATACGAGAGCCAACTCTCATCCATCATGTCCGAAACCGGTGGGGGTTTCTCAATACTTCGATATATTACCCCATGTGAATCGGGCTCTGGAATGGTGGGAGGGACCTCTTCAACGATGACAGTGGCCTCTTGAACGGTGGGGGGGGATCTTGAGGGAGAATAGGGGCCTCTTGAACGATTGGAGGGGACTCTTGAGGGATGACCGGTGAGTCGGGCTTCTTCTTGCGGAGTCTTCGCACCATTGGGGTGAACGGAGACGTAATAGCACGTCCACGCCGTCTGATGCGTGAACTCCATCGTGCAAGGAAAACCCGACGTAAAGCATCCACCTTATCGGGCCGCTAAAAAAAATTAATACATAAATAAGTAAATAAACAGACATGATATTAAACAAAGACAAATATGTTTCAAACTAGCATTGTATTCACCCAAATCATTATTCTATCATAGTTCACAAAATGCTCAGATAACATTCCAGAAGTAAGCACTTATATAAACATTTAAAAGGACAACATATATAAACATTCCAGAAGAAGAATAGTTTACTTTCGCAACACGAAAATTAAAATCGCAATGCGAAATGACTATCGAAACGCGGAAATGGCTATCGCAATGCGAAATGAAAATCGCAACGACAAAATTGCAATGCGAAATGAAATCGCAACGACAAAATCGCAACGCGAAACACAAATCGCATTGCGATTTTCATTTCGCGTTGCGATTTTGTCGTTGCGATTTCATTTCGCATTGCGATTTTGTCGTTGTGATTTTTATTTCGCATTGCGATAGCCATTTCCGCGTTGCGATAGTCATTTTCGTGTTGCGAAAGTAAACTATTCTTCTTCTGCAAATTGAAACTTGAATGGATTGCATTACTTCAACCAAAAGACAAAAACAAAACCAAAAACAAATACTAACAAAAACAGTTTAGCAGTATTGGCAGCAACCGAATGAATTACGAGTATGAAAAATCTTAAACTTACCTCGTTGCGTAGAGTATGAACCTCATTCTGCAACGATGCTACCATCTCACGTAGAGCGGCTACCTCACCGTGTAATGTAGACACCTCAACACGCCATGCACCATCGTCTTTGCGTAAAGTACCGACCTCCTCACGCAAGGCATTGACCTCATCACGTAACTCCCCTAACTCATCCCGTTGAGGTGGAGGTGGAGAACAGGGAGATAAACGTCGTGGCATCTTTGTCGGTCGCCTATCTTACGGTGATGGTGGAGAAGAGGCTCGATGATGTGACATAATAGGTGATGGCTGTCGTTGTGGAGGTGTATAGCCGGGTCGATCAGATGATGGCTCTGGGTGAGGTGATAGCTCTGGGCGAGGTGATGGCTCCCGAAGTGGAGGCTGCTCATCAACCGTTCCATCAAAAAAACGCTTACTAGCTTGCCACAAATCAGTGGCAAGCTCAGCTTCCGTGGGTGTCAGCCTCTGTAGAGGAGTGTTGGCCTCCTAACAATATAAAAGCTCAAACAAAGTTAAACGTGTACTAGTAATAACTTGTTTATAAACATATGGTAGTATTTATGTTAACTTACATTATTTATTGTCGTATACCGTAGTAAATCTTCCCATTGCAAGGTCCGTTTCCTCTTCCAGGAAATAGCCCTGGGAATATCATTTGAAGTTTTTATTGCATATGTCTTCATGGCGGGAAAGGCCTCAAATATCCAAATCTACAAACAATATAATAACAAACATTAGTAATTGTTAAATAATTACTTATAATTTTGGAAACATCATATAAAAATTCTTACCTTAAAGGCCCAAATAAAGCATGTCAAAGTGTATTTGGAACCATCGCCATGCAAACTTTTTCGATCATCCAAGGCAGACGATAACTTATTCCATGTAGCTTTCCATAAATACGAGCCCCACGGAAAGAGGTTCCACGCATTTAGGTCTTCTACCAATTTGATTAGATCATTTGGAATAGGTTGTTTGGTCTCTCTGCCTAAAAAGCCGGCATGCAAAAGAATTAGAAGGCATACTCGGACAACGTCGACGTCATCCATCTGAGTAAAACCATCTTTATTATTCAAAAATCTTGTAAGGTCTTCTACGTGTAGACTCGGCCTCTCTAGCTCAGGAAAAACCCGGGATAACCATGATGGGCGGGTAATGTGTCTAGTGTACCGACCTACATCATCGTGTCCGAAGCGTAGACCGGTGATTAAGCAAAACTCCTCCCGCCCAAAACACGTATACGCCGGTGGAAAATCAAACCATATCTCTTCATCACGACGTTGTATAGTCTCTGGTAGATCGCTAGTCATGGTTTGAAGAAACAAGTGTGTCAACATCGCATCTCCACCGGGATGTTGTACTTTCAGCCATGGCCCGAAGCATGTATCCTCAAACATTTTTCTTTGTGCAGGTGAAAGCTTCGACGCAATTGTTTTGGCCAGGCTGACTTTATTTCTCAAGGTCAATTGAGCCGAATAAAAGTTCTACAAAAACAATAAACATACTAAATTAGATATACCAAAAACTACATTGTGAAGATATACCAAAAACAATAATAAACATAAATAGTAGTAGTTTATTCTTCAAACTTAAATATGCAACACTGTGAATTTCGTATTTGTCTTTGTTTTTGGTTGAAGTAATGCAATTCATTCAAGATTCAATTTGCAGAAGAAGAATAGTTTCTGAAAATGAAAATCGCAACACGAAAATGACTATCGCAACGAGAGAATCGCAACGTGAAACTAAAATCGCGTTGCGATTTGCATTTCGCGTTGCGATTCTTGGTTGATTTAATAAGCAATCTAAGTGAAATGGTTAATCTATTATTGAAATTACCAATAAACTTATCATCAATTTCAATATGAAAAACCTAATAATAATACAAAAATTTCAAAAAAAAAATAATTAAAAAAACTAACCCTCGTTGGTTGATTTGGTTGATTTTCCATTTCTGATTGTGAGGGTGGCTCTGAGAGATGGAGATAGACGGATTTCGCCGGAGATGGGGACGGATTTCATCGGAGATGGGTGAGAGAGTGAGAGATGGAGATGGGACTGAGTTGTGATTTTAGGTTTTAGGTTATGAGTTGCGATTACGGGATATACTGTGGACAGTTCAGTGTTCCAATATATTAATATTCATGTTTGGAATTTAAAAATAAAATACTTGGCCAGGATACTAATGGCGCTTTGAAAATCGCATTGCGATTATGTATTATCGCGTTGCGAAAGTCAGTATCGCGTTGCGAAAGTAAGTATCTCGTTGCGATTTTTTATTATCGCATTGCGATAGTCAGTATCGCATTACGATTTTCCCAATTCACGTTGCGATTTACTTATTCGCATTGCGATTTTCCCAATTCGCGTTGCGATTTACTTATTCGCATTGCGAATTGGGAAAATCGCAACGATACTGTAGACCATCGCAACGCGATTTTCAACTATCGCATTGCGAAAATGCAACGCAAATTTGCGATAATGGAGATCGCGTTGCGAATTAGCGATCGCATTGCGATTTTGTTGGTCATTTTGGCAAATCCGGAAAAAGTTGGTTAAAATCGTATATTATATGGGATTTTTGGTCACTGAGGTTATTTTCTCTAGTTTTAATAGCAAATGGTGCTATTGATAGGTAAAAAACCTCTTCCTTGGGTGCAGAAGGAACAAGAGTCTTAATTTACAATAAAAATAAATAAAATGGCCCCTAAGATTCTAGTAAATAATAGAATAACTCCAACAACATTAGTACATTAGAGATTCCACTCAGTGATGTACATCCCAAATCAAATGCAGCACAAACATCATTAGAGTTAAAAGAAAGAGACAACGTTCACTTCAATTTTGATCTTTGAAGCAATCAATGTCACAAGATATTAAGGTACTCACCATAGGTTTATCATAACATGGAAAATTTTGCATCTGACGGAAGGCGTTACTAGCAGCTGTCAACTCATCAAACACAACCCATGCTTGTCAACGAAGCTTGGGCGTCTTCAAGGAAACAACATCCAAGATCCTTCCGTGTTGATAAAATGAACAGTAAAGGGAGCTCTTTAGTTCTGAAAAGAAGAAGAAATTGTTAATGGGGAATCGATCCCGTTTCAATGTTCAAACCGTAGAGAATCAGCTGGATATTTGTAAAATGTTAAGTTCAATGCCCAAGTAAAGAAGGGCGCCGCTAGGTTAAACCCACCGAAGGAGAAAATTAACTTCTGTTTTTTTCTTTCTAATACCCTAGAAAAAAACTTGATTTTCATCTAAAGGATACGCGTAGTTGGGACAAGATTCAATTGAAAGTTGAGTGGCTTCTAGTTAGTTACATTAAAAATTGGATTAATAAAAAATAGTATTAAAAAATATGTCTAGAAAAAATTTATGATAATTTTGAAAAATTATTTAAAAAAATTAAAAATGATTTTTATTAAAAATAAACTCAAACGGCATCTTGTGTCTCCCTCCCCTTCCCCTTCCCCTTCCCCTTCCCCTTTCCCCTTTCCCCTTTCCCCTTTCCCCTTTCTATAGCTACCGATCTACCAGTCGTGATCATCACTGTAGCCATCATTAGTACTGACATCGACCTTCGATCAAACTCTTATTGATATTTTAATGTAATCTGTCACCGTTTTTTGTAGAAAAACGTTCAAAAGTTCGTCAGATTTTAAGATGCCGTCGTTGTTCTTTGTCAATTTCGACCGATTTCGTTGTCAATAAACAACACCACCATTCGAACTACCGTGTAATTTCGATCAACCTCAATAGTTCAACAATGACGAAGATGGCAAGAGATGGCCAACGATGATTGGTAATGAGTTCAAATGAGAAATTTTAGTTTCTTAGTAGTTTTTTACAGTTTCAATAAAAAAATGGTTTTTATAAATAAATTAAGTTTTTTTATTTTTTTAAAAAACATTTTTATTATTAAAAAATTTAAAAAACTATAATGATAGACACATAAAATTATAACTATGAAAACATTATATACATATTTTTAATAAAATATTCTTTAAACATTAAAACGTTTTTCGAAACATATTTTAAGCACTTATTTTGTATATAACCTTTAAAATTTCCCTCCTTTTCTCAGCAACCAAACAAAAAGCTAGAGAGAAAATGGTGTTACCTTCCTTCCTTTTTATCTGCTCGTTGAGGTTTTTGATGTAAATGGTTTGATTTGGAAGTATATCCGCTGTTAGCATTTTCGCTGGGATTGAAAGAGTGTTGAGAAGTGGATGTGTTGGTTTGGTTAGGCAGCCGACTAAATTACTGCCCCAAAACAATCTACTTTAAACCAAGGCTTTACAGATTCGGATTTCATATAGCGTCTATATTGTACCAATTTCTTATAATATCTGTAATCTTTTAAAAGCTATAATAATTAATTCTTTTAATAAATTGAATAATATATTTTAATTTTTAAGAGTTTAGTAACTAAATCTTGTAATAATTTAACAATATTTTTGAACATTTGGAAATTCAATAATATTTTTACACCAATTTCTATTATCAAGAGCTGCTCCAATTCTGCGTGTAGCGTATCGGGTTTTTCAACTAAAGAGCTATTCACACACTTCCAACCTCGCAATACAACTCAATTCTTACCATTTTCAATTGATGTTCTATTTCTACGCCCATTTACAACTCGGCTTCCGACTAAACAGTAAGTAATCTTCACGATTTCAAAGGTTAAAGACTTTAGGAATTGGGTTGACACTGCAAACAGATATTGATTTTTACCCCCTTAAAAAAGACGTCATATCTCACATCAAAATCTTTTGATTTCCTACACTTATTTTTGTCCAAGTCTATAAAAATATTATATTATATTATATTATATTTATTATTATTATTATTATTATTTATTTTATTATTTTTATAAGCTCCACACTCAACAATTCTAATTTAGTGAGATTTAGAAAATAAATCAACGTATTTGAATCTTATTAAAACACTAACACCAACGTATTTGAGTCATATTGAAACACTAAATCTAACGTATTTGAGTAATATTGAAACAATAAAAACAAAGTTTTTTGAGTCCAAGTAGGACTCTAAATCTGAGCTAAAAATAGGTTTCTTTAAACTATAAATATACTCAAGCATCAAGAGGAAATGACACAGAGAAAAACGTGGAACCAAAACCAGATGAAGGAGCAACGATCTGAAAAAACTGAGGGAAGAAAATGACAAAAAATAAGCGTGGAGGATCCAAAGCTATTATCTTAAAAGCACGAGGAGTGACAAAACATTTTCATTGCAAATACAATTTCTCTACACGCACAACATGGGAGATGTAATAACTTTTGACTTATTCTTTTTATTTCATTTTTTATTTATTTACTTTATATATATTTTTTATTTTCTCCTAATTTTAATATTTTTATTTTTTTACATTGTTTTATATATATATATTTATTTTTTTTTTCATTTTTCATTAATATTTTTTATTATTCTTTTATCATGTTTATTTTTATTTTTACAATACAACACTTTTAACTTTTTAGGGATACTTTCAATCGATCAAAGATAATTAATTCGAATTGAATTTTTAAATTTCAATTTCAATTTTGATTTTCACGATTAAGACAACCGATGAATTAATTGGTACCGAAAGGGCGGTTTAAGGGTGTTAATCTGTTGAAAACATTTTTGTGTTTCGATATAACAAATTAAGTTTAAATGAATTTTAAGATTTTACAAATGATTTTCTAAGTATATTCGATTTAATTAATCGAATATCAAAATATTACTCCAAGTCTTTCAAAATCAATTTCAAACCTTACTAAATGTGTAAAATTGTGTTTTATACTTAATATATTTTTGAAACAATTTTCACAAAGTATTTTGAAACAAAATCAAGCCTAAAATCAATTTTTCAAAGTGATGCACCGATGCACCAATCCATGCATCGATGCACCATGAATCAAATTGAACATCGAATGCATTTTATGCATCGATGCACATACCAAGCATCGATGCACTGAGGATTTTATAAAAACATCGAATGCATTTGATGCATCGATGCACCAACCATGCATCGATACACTCTTGCTATTTTGAAACATCGAATGCACTTGATGCATCGATGCACTCTTAGTGCACCGATGCACTAAGGGTCTAATGGTCAAAATATTTGAATTTTACACTGATGCACCTATGCACCATGGGCATGCATCGATTCACTGACACTCCCAACTGCTTTAATTAATTGTTTTCACACTTAAACGGCTCTATTGACTCCACTAAGCATCCCCAACATTCAGAATCATTTGAAGGTGTATTTAAACAAGCTTAGAAGCCATTGATCAACAACAAGAAACATCAATCAACTAGAATCAAGAGAGAATCAAAGAGAAAGCATCAAACCTCAAGTTTGAGCATTTTCAAGCCTATTTCATTTAATATTTATTTCTGCTTTCAAGAACACTTATTGTGCTCAATTGTATTATTCTTGAGTGTCCTTTCCTTGTTCTAGAATTGTGCAAACATCTTGCCTTGTGAGGATTTTCTTGTAGGTTTGCAAAATTTGTATTATTCTCTTTGGGAGAGAGTGTTCTCAAGAATTTGAGGTATAATTATTGAGGGATTTGTAAGGTTACTCTTTGTCCTCAAAAGGAAGACAAATTAGTGAATTTGTGGAAAATCCTTAGTGTGGATAGCTAAAGTAGTGGACGTAGACTTTGGTTAAGAAAGTCGAACCACTCTAAATCGCTGTGCAAATCTTTTCAATTTTCTGCAAAGCTTTCACTGAAATTTTTATTTGCCAATTCACCCCCTCTTGGCCAACTCCATCGATCGATTAACTCAACAATTGGTATCAGAGCCTCACTCATTTGAAGGTTTAATCGCCTCTTGAGTCGATTCGGGAAGAGTTACATCGATTTTCAAAGTCATCAATGGACGGTACTTCAAACTCCGACTTCGGTCTCGATTCGATGCCCGTCAACAAGCCTCCTTTCTTCAATGGAACTAACTATGCCTATTGGAAGAATAGAATGATGTATTTCATTCAAGCAAGAGACATGGGAGCATGGAATGTTGTAGAAGACAGATTTATCAAGCCTCTCACTCATCTAAGATTGTGGAGCGAAGGAGATACGAAAATGTTCCAGCTCAACTCCAAAGCCATTCATATCATATTTTGTACTCTTGGACTAGATGAATATGGAAGAGTTTCATCTTGTACAACCGCCAAAGAAATATGAGATAAACTACAAGTCACTTATGAAGGCACCAACGAGTTTCATTAATATTTTTTATTATTCTTTTATCATGTTTATTTTCATTTTTACAATACAACACTTTTAACTTTTTAGGGATACTTTCAATCGATCAAAGATAATTAATTCGAATTGAATTTTTAAATTTCAATTTCAATTTTGATTTTCACGATTAAGACAACCGATGAATTAATTGGTACCGAAAGGGCGGTTTAAGGGTGTTAATCTGTTGAAAACATTTTTGTGTTTCGATATAACAAATTAAGTTTAAATGAATTTTAAGATTTTACAAATGATTTTCTAAGTATATTCGATTTAATTAATCGAATATCAAAATATTACTCCAAGTCTTTCAAGATCAATTTCAAACCTTACTAAATGTGTAAAATTGTTTTTTATACTTAATATATTTTTGAAACATTTTTCACAAAGTATTTTGAACCAAAATCAAGCCTAAAATCAATTTTTCAAAATGATGCACCGATGCACCAATCTATGCATCGATGCACCATGAATCAAATTGAACATCGAATGCATTTCATGCATCGATGCACCATGTATCAAATTGAACATCGAATGCATTTCATGCATCGATGCACATACCATGCATCGATGCATATACCATGCATCGATGCACTGAGGTTTTTATGAAAACATCGAATTCATTTGATGCATCGATGCACCAGCCATGCATCGATGCACCAGCCATGCATCGATGCACCAGCCATGCATCGATGCACTCTGGCTATTTTGAAACATCAAATGCACTTGATACATCGATGCACTCTTGGTGCACCGATGCACTA